TATGTACTCACTCATATGTGGATTTTAGACATAGAGTAAAGGATTACCAGCCTACAATCCACACTGCCAGAGAAGCTAGTAAATAAGGAGGACCCTAAGAGAGACAAACTTGGTCCCCTGGAGAAGGGGAAAGGGTCACGATCCTCTGAGCAAATTGAGAGCAGGGGAAGAGGAGGGGGGAGGAAGCTAGGAGAATGAGAAGGGAAGAAGAGGAAGGATGCAGAGGTCATGAGGGAGCAGAAAGGTTGAGTCAGGGGAAGAATAGAAGAAAAGATAAGTGATAGGTGGGGTTTTAATTGGGGAGTAGGGTAGTAGGGGAGGACGGGAGGGAGAAGGGAACTGGGATTGTCATGTAAAACAATCTTGTTTCTAATTCAAATAAAAAAACCTGAGGGGAAAAAAAAAGAATGTAAGATGGTTGATGATATGACTACAGGCTTGTTCTTTGGAGTTGGCATGCTATATATGGACTCAGTCTTTTTCTTTACCCTGAGTCTCTGCAGCCTGACCAATAGTCCCATTCCCTGCCTTGACAATATTGGTCACTTTTTCCAGAGTGCATCACACTACTGGCAAAAGGAGAAGTTTCTTTTCCATTTTTAACCAACAGTGATCCTTTGATACATGTAGTGTTTTCTAAATTCCAACCAGTGACTTCCACCTCCATACCATTTTTATAAATGCATAATGAGCTTCTATCTAACAATAAACATGCTATTAGGACAAGAGAAATGAACTTTCATTAACAGCAAAGCTGTTTCCTCATGTTCTCTGTGTCCCATCCCCCACCCCGCCTGGAATGTTTATTGTTTCATTAAAATGCCCTCTTTTATTACTGGGGGCTGAGTTTCTAACACCAAGCATGTCAGTTAGATGACATTTCTCATCTTTTAAATTAGTACTCTCATAGAGTTTGTTAGAACATCGTTTTCTTTACTGTAGTCTCTTGCCTCGCTTCCATATTTTTTAAATTTATTTAACTTTATTTTATGTGAATTGGTGTGAGGGTGTCAGATCCCCTGGAACTGGAGTTACAGACAGTTGTGAGCTACCATGTGGGTGCTGGGAATTGAACCCAGGTCCTCTCGAAGAGCAGGCAGTGTTCTTCACCACTGAGTCATCTCTCCAGGACCCTCGTTGCTATATTTTGATTGTGCCTTTGACATAACCTTCTCAGGCAGCCCTCACAGTGAAGGACGAGAATCTCTGTTAAAGTAGATCTTCCACTCAGTGTTTCTCTGTCTCTTCCATCTACATCAGTTGCTCTTCACATCAAAGTAGAGAAACCGCATAGTAGTTTTTCTGACTGCTAGTAACAGAAGTTTGACCTGTTTGAGTAGTTCTGATCATTCAAAGAAGAATGTGTAAAGCAGAGGTGTAGGAACACTTTTATTGAAAGATTGGACTTAATGAGGATGCTCACTGTGATGTTGGGTAATCTGCCTTCATTGAACTAACCGACTTCATTCAATTAAAATATGAACCATCAAAGACCATAACGTTTCTTGGAGCTTGGTAAATTTGCTTGGAAGGTCTTGTGAAGATGCATATAGTTTTCTCACAAATTCCTATGTGGCACTGGCAGTGAGAATCTTCTGATTCACCGTATTGATTTGTGTATCTCCTACAGATGAATGATTAAGATGACCGAGACTAGAAGTGACTTTCTGAATATCAGTTTAGCATTTGTGAAATGAATGTATGATTTTCTAGACACCTAGAAAACCTGTGCCAATGTTTGTGTTTATTTATAACCACAAAATCATATGTTAGACTGTAAATTGAGCATTCAGAATAACTCCATGATTTTATGCACGAGAAACGTAAACTCAGAGATGAGTGGCTTGGCACAGTTAGATGACAAAAATATAATCTGAGGCCTTAGTGAGCCCACATTTATTGTTCCTCCTTCCATGCTTTTTTTTAAGATTTAGAGTTTGAGTCTCAAGAGATCATTGGCCACTCTTCCAGAGCACTGGCTGCTTCTTCAGAGTATCCAGGGTTAAGTCCCAGCATCTGCAGACACCAGGTCCACATGTGGTGCAAAGACAGACACAGGAAAAACACCCATACACAGAAAATAAACAAATCAAATATTTTAAAGAATTATTATATTCGATTTAGATCCTATAGGAAAAGCCTATTTACTGATCCAAATCCAGACATGAATCATTTCTAACTTTCCTGTTTCCTATTATCAGTGTCACTCCTTTGGGAAACTCACATTATTTGTCCTGGTTCTATAAGGAGAACATTAATTGTCTTGGTTTCTAATACTATGTTATTCTCAAAGCACTTACACTCATTCATACCATGTGTCTATTCTCAGGATAACAGGGTTGTTTTTCAACCACCAGTCACCTAGTTTATGTTTGAAATTGGGAACTTCTTCCCTTCAAATTAAAAATAAATTTTGAACTCTTGGACAACAGTAACTAATATTTTTCTGGCATGAACTTGTTGTTTAGTGATAGATTGCTTGTTTAGCCTAAGCACATCTCTGGGTTTGATCTTCAGCAACATACATACACACACACTCACACATACCTACTTGCTCACAATTTAGTGCAGGCCAGAAAAAGTATACTTTGTGACCCAAAGGTAAGTCTCCTCATGTAAAGTTCAAGCATACATGTGAAATATACATAGATCTATGTGTCATTTCACTTAATGATTTTTGTCCATGGGACAGCCTTGAAATTCTTCTTTGGATGGCCTATATTTCCTGTTGGCATTTGCCAAGGAATAGTCATTATAATAACAATTACTATTACTGCTACATTTTTCCTTTTCTTCTTTTATTAAGCCCACCCTTCTATAACAAACTAAAGAAATTATCACATGAAAGACACTTTATTTATACACAGTCTTTAAAGGACTAGTTTCATAATAATGGAATGTGAAAATTGGAAAGAACATTAGAAAATAATCTGTAGTGAGTGCTATGTAAAAAGACTTAAACAGGGGGTGGGGTGGGGGGAGAATTAAAGCAAAGAAGTCTTCCACAACTCCTCAACAACTAATAGCTTACAGACATTAAAATCAGTTCTTTTATTTCTAGTATTACATAGTATTGCAATGTGATCACATGACATGTTTGTCTCTTGTCAAAATATTATTTTACACATAGTTATGGATGCTATAGAGATCATAGGAAAAAACCTGATTCATTGAGTTATCTTAGTAATTTTGCATATTCTTTTTTCTTTTCTTTTTTTTTTTTTGAGACAGGTTTTCTTTGTAGCTTTGGAGGCTGTCCTGGAACTAGTTCTTGTATACCGGGCTGGTCTCGAACTCACAGAGATCCGCCTGCCTCTGCCTCCTGAGTGCTGGGATTAAAGGCGTGTGCCACCAATGCCCGGCTTAGCATATTCTTTTAAAGGTATTACTTTTTGCACTTGCTCACCAGAAATTCTTGTCACTTGTTGTTGTTGATGGTGGTGATATTGTTGCTGTTGTTGGTGTTGATGGTAGTACTGTTGTTGTTGTTGGTGGTGGTGGTGGTGGTGATGATGATGGTGATGGTGGTGATGGTGATGGGGGTGATGGTGGTGATGGTGATGGTGGTGGTGGTGATGATGGTGGTGATGGTGATGGTGGTGATGGTGATGATGGTGATGGTTGTGATGGTGGTGATGGTGATGATGGTGGTGGTGATGGTGATGGTGGTGATGGTGATGATGGTGATGGTTGTGATGGTGGTGATGGTGATGATGGTGGTGGTGATGGTGATGGTGGTGATGGTGATGATGGTGATGGTTGTGATGGTGGTGATGGTGATGATGGTGGTGGTGATGGTGATGGTGGTGATGGTGATGATGGTGATGGTTGTGATGGTGGTGATGGTGATGATGGTGGTGGTGATGGTGATGGTGGTGATGGTGATGGTGGTGATGGTGGTGGTGATGATGGTGGTCGTGATGGTGATGGTGGTGATGGTGGTGATGGAGGTGGTGGTGGTGGTGGTGATGGTGATGGTGGTGGTGGTGATGATGGTGGTGATGGTGGTGGTGGTGGTGGTGATGGTGGTAATATCTGTGGTACATGCTCAGGTATATATGCTAGTATATGCCAAAGGATGACTATATATGTCTTCTTCTGTTACTCTCAACCTTGGTTATTTTCTTTTGAAACAGGCTGTTTCTATGAATAGGAAACTCCCTATTTCTGCTAAACTGACTGGTGGACAGGTTCTGGGATCCACCTGTCTCAGCTTCCCTATACTAGTGTTGCCTGTACATGGAGCCAAGCCTAGCTTTTACATGGGTGATGAGGATTTGAACTCAAGTCCTCTTGCTTCTACAAAGTCATTCATTACACACTGAGCCATTTCTCCAGACCCTCACCCTGAGATTTTTAACAGAATGAGTTATCATGAGTGAATGATATCAGGATTAATTGAAGTCAGTTTTAGGAATGAGTTGCCTTGGGGGGCAGGCAATAGAAAAAGAAGCTACAAAATAGTCCACCAGGTGTTGCTTGGAACTGCTCACCAGAAGTGACTATCACTGGGGAGAGGATTCTGAATGCATTTATGATGCATAGTCTAATTCCAATCATAATACTTATAGTACCCCTTTTTACAAAGAAGAATTTAGATTATATTGGTTATAGTGGTTATACAATGGTGGCAGTCTGGAGGAGCCTCTCCTTTGTAATTTAGTAAATTGCTTTGAGAAACATGTTTCTTGGGTCCATATTCCTGGGGCAGTGAATTTGAAGATGGAAGGTCAAAAGAAATACCCAAATGGGCAGACAGCACAGCATCCAGGCAAAATCTGCTTGGCGAGGAAATCTGTTCCCATGATTAGTGAGTTTCCCCAGCCAGCCTGTAGGTGGGTGTGTTTAGCAGGAGGAAGCAATGGGAACCAGCCTGTCAGCCAGCCTTTCAGGCTAATTAGCTCAGAATACAACAAAGATAAGTGAGCCTGAGAGGAGGGCCCTGAGGGTCTTTAGATTCTGGGAAATGTCTGATTGGCAGATGTTAAAAGGGATTCTTTGGTAATCCAGTGCATCAATGAACTGCACAAATTCAGTCCAGAGCTGCAAGAATTCAGGCATGAGGACACTGTGCAGGAGGCTTGCACAGGCAGACCGAGATGGACAGAACCTTGGAATCTCTAAGGCACATCGTTGCCCAAGCCCTGCCTCACAGAGACCCGGCTTTGGTCTTCAAAGACTGTAAGTACTGAAGGAGAAAATCTTATCTTTTTCTGACTTTTTAGAAAATAGTTCTACATGTCTAGTCACATCCTATTTAACTATGGTTTCTGCTAGATCTTTGTAGTAGTGTGCTGTGGGCTAAGCGATATTTAAATTGTTCCCAACTTCAGTTAGGAGAATGATTTCATTTTACCTACATCCACGAGGCTCTGGGTTATTTTGCCAAGACACCACTGTGCAGAAAGCGCCGTTTCTAAACTCTAAAACCTGCCAAGTCTTAATGAACTTTTCCAGATGCTTTTTAAATAATGCGAAGCTTACTGGAACTTGATGAAAGCTAAAAATAACTTGGAAATTATAATAAAAAATTCATCTCTAGTTGTTAATGTATTTAATCTTCCATAACATAGCTAGTCACATTAAATCCAGTACTGTTTCTATCTAATAGTATTTGTAGCAAACAAAATTTAATAAGAAATCACCACTGAGCTCCTAAATTTAAATAACAAATTATAAAGCCAATAAAAATGAGATGCTAACTTCAGTCTCACTTCTCACATCCCCACCCCCACCCCACATGGCATGGCAAAGTTATTTTTAAGTCTATTTCTAAAATGATTATGAGAAATAATTCAGTCAAGCTTTCCAATTCCAGCCATACTATTAAACCATTTGTCATATAGCTTCGCTTCTGGAACCAATTTGATTTCTTGCTGCTGCAAAACAGACTGTCTTCACAGTGTATCTTATCTACAGTGAGTGTCAGATTACAAAGGGCTTCTGAAATAGAATTGCTCTTTGGAACTGCCCAAAAGGTGAAAATGCATATGGAATGTTTTTCAGCCTGCAATACGTTACAGCTTTCCTCTTTGTGACTCGAGTAATGTTTGTCTCGATCAAAGTATCAGTGGTTTGGATTTTGCCTCCTGATTAGTGAATAACAGTCCTCTCCAGATGTCCCTGTAGCTTATATTTCTCATATGTGTGATGAAGAAAGAGAAATGTTGGGCCACTTTATTCTATAAAATTTCCCTCTTAGAAATTAAATTGTAACCAATCTGTTCTCCAAGGCATAAAATGAAAGCTATTTTATTTCTTATTTTTTTAATATTGCCTTCAAGCATTTGTCAATAGCTATGTTAGAAATAATAAAAATCATTCCATCCACAAGCCTAGCCGGGAGTCTATTCTGGCTTGTTATGTTTCCCTCAGTGAAAGAGAAGGAAAGAATGTCTGTCTCCTACAATGCATTCAATTCTTAGTGAAGGGTAAACGGCTTTGACATGTCCAAAGCTTTGGATAAATTGTAAGGACTTCTTACATCTAGAATTTGGAGTGTGGAGGCAGTAAAAGGAAACGGAGGGAAAAGTGAGGCTGCATGGTCCAGGTTTTAAGCTGAACTAATTTCTTCCAATTGCATACTGTCTGTCACCCAAATTTTTGCAAGAATGCTATTTTTTTCTTTTTTTTCTGAGACCATTATAATCCACACAGAAATTCTTTCATATGGAAAAATGTGTCACATTTCATATATTTCATTCATTAACAGTAATAACAAAAAAATTCCTAAATTTGGCATTTTTCATTGTCGACTTACCCTGGAATGAACTGCTGCTCTGCAGCTGCTCGTCTCAGTGAGTGTGAATGTTTGAATGCCAGTCCTCTCTCTTCTGGCTTTTCTAATCCTGGGAACAAAAACGACTAAATGGCCAATGTCTCTACTAATCTTTGTGGAAGAGTAGAAATGGGTTTACTTCCTGAGTCAGGACATGAGATGTCTGTTTGGGGACCAAGCTTCGTCTTGGCAACTGTGGTTGCTGTACACGTTGAAGTCTGACTCATGAACGTTATTTCTTTGGCACACCTATATGTTGCAGCCACTACACTCCTACTGGAAACAAACAAACAAACAAACAAACAAAAAACCTGCCACCAGCCCTAATTGGCAGGTTCTGAAAAGTCTGCTGTCCTCCTAACTCACTCCAGGCTCCTCCCCTGCCAAAATCCATCCAGTCTCTGCCAGGAGGGAGGGCTGTGTACTTGAACACATCACTGCCAATTATTTAAGAATTGCTTCCTTGCTTTCCTGGAAGATGAAAAGGGACTTCAAGAAATTATAAAACCGGATTCAAGTGAACAAAGGAGTATTTTTTAAAAACTGTCAGGGTGTTTCTAAACTCCTCTTCTATGAATGCAAACTGCTATTTCCTTCACTCTTTGGACACACAGTATAGAGAGCAAAAATGGCTTCCTGGGTTATTCACCACCCTTGGTTGGCTTTTGATTTGCTTACAAACAAACAACAGTTGGTAAATATTCTCTTCAAGTTGATTAGGAAAAGCACTCTGAGCGTTTTCTTGTATGAGGCAGATGCATGTGGGAGTAGTTACATTCGCTTAAGGAAATACATGTTGAATGCATTGCTAAGCCATGAAGGCTCTTCAGATGGCATTTTCCAATATGTTAATTCTGTTGTAGTTTAGGTGTTGTTCATCTACCATAACTGTATATTTTAAAAAATATTATTGTTTTTCTGAAAAGGAAAGGAATCCCACAACATTTTTCTTTACTTCCTAGTTGACATTCAAATGGAAAAGGTTTGCGATAAGGTGTGCTCCCAATCTGAAGGCTTGCATGAGGCTGCTCTCTACAACAGGAGTGTCTCTGTGACAGGCAGCACTGGGTAGCATCGCACAGCCAAACAGAACCTGTTTTTAGAGAAAGTATGGCATGTGTGCATGCTGCCTTCCATTCTGAGCTCTGTGCCATCCACTTTCTTTTTTATTTTAATTAAAAAGAAAATTATTTTACATGTCAATCCCAGGTGTTTCAAAATCTGTATTATTCTTTGGGCTAGGGCCTAGGCCAACCCCCTTGTGTCTAGGCTCAGGGAGTATTCCTCCATATGGGATGGGCTCCCAAAGTGCCATCCACTTTCATTCCATGGATGAGTCACAAGCAAGGATGAGCTCTCTTAAGAACAGCCCCTGCCCTCTCTTGTGGAGCATGTACTTGCTGTTTGTTTGCGACTATTTGACCAGTCCTTGGCTTTTTCTCAAAAGAAACTACTGCATGATTTCAAGATGGCTGTGTAGCAATCCTAACATAGGTACTAATTCTTCACATTACAAAAGATAAGATACCCACCATCTCTAGGGTGTTACTTCATCCATCATATATCAGGATGTTAACTCTTCATTGCATAACAGATAACATGCCAGGAACATTTATTCTTCGTAACAAGCCAGTAAATGCAGATACTGCTGTAATATGGTTGTTGTAAGTTAAGGAAAGAGGCAAACTGACCAAGTATCACCATGGTAGGGGACAGAGGTTAGGTACAAATATCTTCCAACTCCTTTCTTTTAGTCACTCACTGTATAACACTGATTCTTAGAGGTGCCAGTTCCCATATTATCAGGGTTGTAATGGCAAAATCTGTTGGGAAAACAGAGAGGGGAGAGACGTGAACTTTTCTAGGAGGTGAGAGAGACTAGTATGTAGTCATATTTGAACAGACTATGACAGGGATGCAGACATGGGGTGTTTTTAGAGGAGGAGAAGCCACTTGGCCAAAGGCCATACAAGGAGCATGGATTGGATGAGAACTGAATAGAAAAAGCAGGTTGAGTCTTGCTGACACATAGGCCATCAGGAAGTACTGGAATTAGGTATGATCTTAAGTTTATGGCCCTATGTGAATCTGTTGAAAGTGTATATGCTGATTCCTTAGCTGGGAAGAACTGCAGCTTTAATCAGAAGAAAACCATTTGCCAACCCAGATAAAATGTAAAGTTAGTGAATGGTAAATATGCCTCTGGGAAGATGTTACTTTCAGGAACTTGAGGCCAAATGGAAACAACTTTCTCCAAGAGATTGTTTAAAAGCTATCTTGATTGTCATTTCAGCCACAAGAATTAGTTGATTACTGCGTGAGCTCTATAAAGTTATATGTTAGATTTCACCAGTATTTTCTCCATATTCTATGATGAAAAGGTAAGATGGAGTCTTTGTTAAACGTTGCTCAGTTAGATGCAAATTTCTCACATATTTGAGGTGCATTAACTTTTTTTATTTGAAAAACATCTCTCTGCATAGAAGGATATATATATAAGATAGGTGAATACTTAGCTTCAAAGAGCACATTTCTACCCTTTGAAAAACTCAGACCAGACTACAAGGCTATTAAAAACATCTTAGCAATCATGAATCTGGCAGTATATGGCTTGGGAGAACAAAAATCCTCAAGAGTCAAGTATTTTTTCCATCCCATTCTCTTTAGTGAAGTTACTTCAAATCTATAAATTTGACGATACATTTATAGTTTTCACATTTCACAGAGAGGGATGGATGTAAGGGTTGTAAAATTCCTTTGCGTCCTGTAGTACATTCCACCATATAAACTGCCCTTGAAAGAACACCATTTCGTTTCAGAGCAATGATTCCATCTTAATTGGGATAGAGTAAATGTTGATACTTTTAGTATTAAACTAGAAATGCATGTTTTATAGAATCCCATTCAGATGCAGGTTTTACTTTATTTGTAACAGGATACAGTGGCTTTTATTTGAATTTATACTGAGGGAAAAATGAGAACTTTAGCTCAGCTATCAGTGATGTAAAATGTGTTCTCTTTATCTTTTATCAGAAAATATTCATTTAACAGTTTAAATATTGAAAGACAGCCTGAGGAGAAAATATTTTAAAGTCTTTTAACTGGGGGGAGGGGTGACTTCTCAGTCACTGAAAGGCTGTATCTGTCCTGATACTTTTTCCTCATTTACTGATACAATATTACTAATACTAATTCAAATGAAATATGATGGACAATCATTCCATGAGATCCACCTAGGGCCTCTTCATAGACTGCTGCCCCATCTTGCCAGAGGTTTGTATTATTTATTTTATTTTATTTTTTAACAGTTCAGATTTGTTAGCTTGAACTCAATTCTAACAACTTCTGAAACTCATGTGCTAAGTTACAGCCCATAATAGGATACAGCTGCCCAAGGGTGAGG